CCATCTGCCACCTTAAAAACCCAGTCCCTCCACCATAGTGTACTTTGACAGCAATGCATACCATCTATATGGAGCATTGTAGGAAATCACCAAGCCCTCTTCAATGGTACCTTTGAAATCTGTGATCTTTCCCACTGAAGCGGACTAGGGCAGCAGATACATAGTAAAACCATCACCTCCAAGTTCCTATCTATTTTGACTTGGAACTATATGATTGTTTCTTCACTGAGGTTGGGTCAAAATCCTGGAACACCCTAACAGCACTGTGCTGGAACAATAGCCCATGGACTGCCACAGATCAGGAAGAAGGCTCATCATCACCTTCTCAAGGCCAATTAGGGATGGACAATAAAGGCTGGCTTAGACAGTGAACCCCACATCCCATGAAATGATTTTATAAGAGTAAAAAATTTGCACTTTGTGGGCAATTGTGCCTATGAACTTGGTGTATAGGACAGCCTTATTGATAGGTTGCTATTCCTAATGGATAGCTTGATAACCAGAATTTTGTAATTTAAGTGACTTTTGAATGACAAATATAAATCTACAATAAATGAGTTTTGCAATTAACAGCAGACAGTTGTGTGTTTCAATATTTCAAACCTACATGATGAGCAATAGGCAAGTGTGAAATTAAAGCAAATGCATGTATTTTTACATGTCCATATGTGCATGTCTAGATCCTTGAAGGCAATGGAACAGGTAAAAAAGGATGGTTAAGAAGACATATGGGATACTTGCCATTATTAGTCAAGATGGGGAGGTGCCGGTGTTGGACTGGGGTAGACAAGGTCAGAAATCACACGACACTAGGTTATAGTCCAACAGGTTTATTTGAAAACACAAGCTTTCGAAGCCTCACTCCTTCAGGTGTTAGTCCTTATGCCTGAAGAAGGAGTGAGGCTCCTAAAGCTTGTGTTTTCAAATAAACCTATTGGACTATAACTAGTGTTGTGTAATTTGAGCCTTATTAGTCAAGGCATTGATTACAAGAGAAAGGAGGTTATGATGACCTATGTATAATGTTAGTTAGATCATTGCTGGAGTACTGTGTGAAGTTCTGGTTGCCACACTATAGGAAGAATGTGGCTGCACTAGAGAGGATAGAGAAAGGATTAATCAGGATGTTGCCTGGGCTGGAACTATAAAGAGCAACTAGATAGACTGAGGTTATTTTCCTTAGAGCAGAGAAGACTAAGGGGGATCTAACTGAGGTGTAAGATGTCCAGAGGCATTGACAGGGATGTGGGGAAAATCCTTTCCCCTTCGAGGAGTCAAAAACTAGGGAACATAGTTTTAAGGTAAGAAGGAAGTTTAGAGGGGATTTGAGGAAAACATTTTTATCCAGAGGGTTGTGGATTTCTGAAACTTACTGCCTGAAAGAGTGGTAGAGGCAAGAACTGCCAAGACATTTAAGAACAATTCAGATGAGCAATTACAATGTCATAGCATACAAGGCTATGGGATTAAAAAAGATGGAAGTTTAATAACTGACATGGACATGATGGGACAAGCGGTCTCTTTCCATGCTGCAAAAGCTCTGAGTCTAAATGATTATAGTTTGCAATAAAATGAGAAGTATTTTCTTGACTTTACATATCAAGGAAGAATAAATAATGTCTATTTTGCTGTGTTATGCTGATTATGTTCATTTATCAGTTTTGTACAAATAAGACAACTTATTCGTTCAAAGCCTTAATCTTAATCTGTTAAGTGTATGTTTCCAGGACATTATTAAAGAAAGGTGAATAAACTTATTTTGATACACAATAGATCCCAGTAGCATGTAAGAGTTCTCTGTAATGAACACTGCAACTGATCTAGTTATCTAATAACAGAAACATTCAGAGTTATATAGGGCACAAGGTCCACTTTTGTGCAATGATATTGAACCTGAGAAAATATCTAATGTAAAAACTCAACATGACTCAGACTCTTCCAGTTAAGACAGGCACGGAAGCTTATTTTCTGCCTGGCTGGATTACTGTTGCCTTGTGTTTAGTGTGGTTCAGGGGGCTCATTTCCTGTTTATCAAAGTGCAACGTGATTATTACATCTTTGCATTCACTTTAGTGCCTTAATTTTCTGTTAGTGGATAATACCTGTCCACATGATTTTAACAACCAGATATTTGGAAAATTATTCCTCTTGCATTGATCTTTGCATCAATTTCTCTGCTTAAAAGTACCAGTCATTTGCCAACATTGAGTTTTTTGAAAAAGTAACAGGACTGATGAGGACAGAACGGTGGACGTGATCTTTATGACCTTCAGTAAGGCATTTGACAAGGTTCCTCATGGTAGACTTGTTAGCAAGATTAGATCACACGGAATGCATGAATATTCTTTCAATGGTGCATCTGTAGAAATTGGTGAGAGACCTTATGGACATGCCAAATTTCCTGAGCCACCTGAGGAAGAAGAGGCATTGTTGTGCCTTCTTGAATGTTGCATTTACGTGGGAAATCCAGGACAGGTCGTCGGTTATCATCACTCTGATGAACTTGATGCTATTCACTCTCAACCTCAGTTCCATTGAGTTAGATGGGGGTATGTTCTCCTTCTTTCTTTCTGAAGTTGACTATCAGTTCTTTACTTTTGCCGACATTGAGAGACAGATTGTTTTCATTGCACCATGTTACCAAGCCCTCTATCTCTTTTCTGTACTTTGACTTGTCGTTAGATATCCGTCCCACTACTGTGGTGTCATCAGAGAACTTGTAGATGGTGTTCATTCAGAATTTGGCAACACAGTCCTAGGTGTACAGAGAGTACAGTAGGGGGCTGAGGACGCATCCTTGGGCGGGGGGGGGGGGCTCCACTGTTGAGTGTTATTGTGGAGGAGTTGCAGTTACCTATCCTCACTGACTACGGTCTATGGGTCAAAGCTGAGGGTCTGATTGCAGAGGGCGGAGCTGAGACTAAGGTCACGCAGTTTTGAGATCAAGGAGATGTGAGTTCATGGTCTGGATTTTGAAATATCAATGATGGCAGAAGTATCAGTGTTCACTTCTTTTCACTTCACGGTGGCTCAGTGGTTAGCACTGCTGCCTCACAGCACCAGCAACCCGGGTTCGATTCCACCCTCGGGCAACTGCGTGGAGTTTGCACATTCTCCCCGTGACTGCATGGGTTTCCTCCGGGTGCTCCGGTTTCCTCCCACAGTCCAAAGATGTGCAGCCTACGTTCATTGGTCATGTTACATTGCCCATAGTGTTCAGAGATGTGTAGATTAGGTGGGTTACAGGGGATGGGTCTGGGTGAGATGCTGTGAGGTTTGGTGTGGACTTGTTGGGTCGAAAGGCCTGTTTCCACACTTTAGGGATTCTATGATCTTTTCATATTTCATTCTATGATTCTATGATTTTAAAATGACAGCAATGTCTGGGGTCCACTCATATGCAGTTAAACACAGAAACCCAGATGTGATTCTATGCTTCCCCTTTGAGGGGAGGTCCTCACAGATTACTGAAATCTCTGAATTGTAAATAATTTTGTCATTTTGCACTTTACAGATCACATCATGGCAGCTGGTGAAATTTAAATTCAATTAATAAAGTCTGATCGAAGATTAATCCCAGCTATGGCAACCATGAAACTACCATCAATTGTTGTAAAAACCCATTTGGTTCACTAATGTCATCCAGAAACAAGAGTCTGACATCCTTACTCATGTGATTCCAGACTCTCAGTAATGTGGTTGATTCTTAAATATCCTCTAAAAACTCAGTTCAAGGGCATTTAGTGATGGACACTAACACTGGCATGACCAATATCCCATGAAAGAATAAGTAATTTTTTTTTGTTGAATGAGGTACAATTTGTTTTTAATGGCATACTAGCTCATAATTACTGCTGAATAGCCTCACACTCCTTAAAAAAACTAATTTTATATTTGTAGAATGACAAATTACTCTGTTATGATTTTAAAACATGGATTTTTGAAGTATATTCCAATCACTGATTTTTCTGTCTGTAAATTATTAATTAATATTGAGAATCTAGTGCATTTTACTCCTTGTTTTCTTGCCCACGGGAATATTTCAGTGGTTGTCTGCCTAATCTGTTTGCTGTGATCAATGCTGCTGGACTCAGATATCCTTGAATTGACACTAGACTCAAACTGACTTTGGGAAAAGGGAAATCCATTCCACAGATGACACTAGATCTTTCTACATAACAGTCAATGAGCAACTAATATGAATCATGTATGATAGTCTTAATTTAACCTCACTGGGTTTTAATTCTTTACATAACATAATCACCATAATACAACAACAAAGGCAAAAACAAACAAACAAACAAACAAATTTTAATGTCAAGGCAAGGTGCCAATATTACTTGTGAATCATTTACAAAGGCATATGGTTCTTATTATATGTATGGGTCTAACTAGCTTTAGTTTCCCAAACAGTGCTTCTTCAGTGCAAGGTACTGTCCTTAAAACTCATTATTTACAGCATAAGAAATGCACACATTCTATTCAACTCTGCTGGAGCTTCTTCCTCTTCCAGATTTTTCTATATAATCATGTGACCCTGACATCATCAGTATAATCATCACTGTTATACTTTCTGCTGATGTCTCATGACTGTACATCTTCCCCCGAGTCTTTATCCTCCTTATAAGCATCTCTTTCCTTCAATGTCTCAGACTTCAAATGGTTGATATTCTTGGTGCTTTGACCAATCTTTGTGAACTAGTTCTGATCTCATTCTAAAGAGTTGGGTGCTCTGCATTCTTCCTTTCTTTGACCTGTGTGTTCCTCTCCTGAATGTTTATAGAGCTGTCTTTTCTCCTTCTTCTCCTGGGAAATAGTTCCATACTTCTATTGGCTTCTTTTCAATTAAATTATGCATTACAATGTTTTCTAATTATCCCTTGCTCTGATTAACCATATGAGATCTCAGTTGTGCTTTCTCTGTGATCATTCTTTCCCTCTATTGATCTCTTATAAATACTGTCTACCAAGCTGTGCCTGCTAACTTTTGTGTTCTGTACCTTATGTTAAAATGTTCAGCCTGGATGTCTCTTGTCTCTTCTTTCTGGCCTTTTCACTTTGTTATGGTCATTCTTGGTGTTTGGCTGCAACTTCTGAAACAGAGACGAAAGTAGTGATCAGTCTGTTGTGTGATGATCTGTCACTTAATAGTGCGAGATTTGGTGGATGTAGGTACAGTTACAACATTTAAAAGACATTTGGAGGGATATGGGCCAAATGCACGCAAGTGGGACTAGTTTAGTTTGGGAACGTGGTCGACTGGTTGGACCAAAGGGTCTGTTTCCATGCTGGATGATTCCATTTAAGTCTTTGTTCTTTTTTGATAATGTCTTGATTTGTATGAAATCCTCCCCCAACTTTTCCATTCACTTGAGGATAATGAGATGAACTTGTGACAATGAATAAAATTGTATTCTCAAACAAATCTCTTGAACTGCTCATTTGAAAACTGCAGATTACTGTCTGAGAGATAGTAAGAACTGCCGATGCTGGAGTCAGAGATAAAAGTGTGGAGCTGGAGGAACACAGCAGGCCAGGCAACATCAGAGGAGCAGGAAAGCTGACGTTTCAGTTCGGGACCCTATATTGTCTGAGACCACATGTCTAGATGCCATGCCTTGAGAAGACATTTTTGATTAATTCTATCACTGCTTTTCTTATGATCTTATGTAAACAGTTTTCCTCAATTCATCTCATTCTTACTGTAACTGATGAAATTACTCCTTGTCTCAGCGTAAAATAGAATAAATTGGCATGATACCTTAGTGTAATATAATATCTGTCAGTTTTCCAAAACCTTTATACAATCTCAGGATTTGCTTCAAAATTCATATTCTTTATCTGAATCTGCAATATTTTTGATCTTGTGAATTAGTTTCAAGTGGTGTTTCTCCAAGTCACTGTAGTTTCATTGAAGATGGCTGAAATTTGATGCCCTAAAATCCGAATTAGACTTCACTGTGCGTCCACATATTTTCAGTTTAAAACTCCAAAATTCATTCCCAGAATCATTGATTTCTCCCAGAATTGTTTTTTTCTGATCTTGTAGCATTTCCACTTCTTTTCTCGAAGATGACTGGCTCCAATGTAAAAAAGCAATTTCTGTGCTTGTGGCACACCAGGGACTGGCCAATGGATTTGATCCTAAAAGCTGTTTATATGAGTCTTCTCTGTATTGAGAGGTCTCTGGTGAAAATGATGCTCTGTTCGAAACTAAGCATGGTTACCTAGGCCTGATCTCAGAATTTCTCCTATTGTTGCCCTCGTCCATTAGATTCAACGGGGTCCGCCTTTGATGAGATAGCTGTCTTGTCAGCTTTTGTCTCCTCAATTTCAAAGCCCCTCCACTGAGCCATATTTTTGCCCATGCAGCAAAAATAGCAGGGAGATTATTTGAACTTGTACATGATACTTGTTTGACCTCAGCTGGAGAATTTTGTACAGTTGTGCCACATTAAAAGAAAGGAGTGAATGCATTGGAGAGAGTGCAGAAGCAATTTACAAGAATGGTTCATGGAATGAAGAACTTCAGTTATGAGGATAGCTTGAAGAAGTTGGAACTGTTCTCCCTGGAAAGAAGAAGGTTAAGAGGAGATTTTATAGAAGTTTCAAAGTCCTGAACAGGCTGGATATAGTAGATAGGGAAAAGCACTCCAAAAAGTGAAAACAAGAAAGCATAGATTTAAAGTGATGTGTGAACAAGCAAAGGTGACTTTATCACTTATCAAGTAGTTAGAGTATGGCAATATCTTTAATCAACTTGTCCAGGTGTTACAACACACCTCTGGCACAGGTGGAACTCAAACCCAGGTCTCCTGGCTCAGAGGTAGGTACACTACCACTGCACCACAAGAACCATGAATTAGGGTATGGAGTGCACTGCCTAGAAACGTGATGGAGGCAGGTTTAATTAAGGCATTCAAAAGGGCATTGGATGATAATTTAGATAGAAGCGGCGTGCAGGGACATGGAAAAAAGGCATGAGATTGGCACTTGATGAAGCTGTGCAGATATGATAGGCTGAAAAGCCTCCTTTTCTGCTGTAACGATTCTGTAATTCTGAGATCTCTGGAAGGAGCCAGCAACATAAGGACCTCACTAACAATGCAACTGGCATGGTATGGGTTTCAGTTCAGCATGGTTCCAGATCTTGCTAACCATGCTTGCAAGACCCAGGCATATCCATTCATTTCTCTTGGGACTTGTAACTAATGTCTGCACTGGGTCTTGATCATGCCAAGACGGGGCCTCCTGAAAGAGTAGGCCTTTCCCTCAGAGTAATATTATCTGCTAATATATCATACTCTTCCTCCTTCTTCTGTGTTCTATGTTGGCTCTAGCCACACCACCAAGGTCCAGATGCACGTTGCCAGTGCTGCAGTGCCTCTATGATCCTTACATAGGATGATGTCATGCCACTTTATTTCTGCATTTTTTCGCTGCTTATTCTTCCTCCAGCGAGTGTAACAGTCTATCATACCTCCCACCTGGCTGTTTGAAACCAGGAATTATTCTCATGGACCACAAAAGTATGCTCTTGCAATTTTGCAGGCATCACACGCCCCTAACTTCCTCCTGAATCAGCCACAAACCTCTATCTGTGATGAAAAGCTTTATATGGTTAGACTTTAAATTCTCTGTGCTCTGCGCAAGGAGGCCCTCAGAAGCTTTTACAATTTGCCTTACAGTCATAAGTCAGACAGGGTTACTGGATCCAAAATATTAATGCTGCTTTCTCTGCACAAATGCTGCCAGACCTGCTGAGTTCCCCAGCAACCTCTGTTTGTTTTTCAGATTTCCAGCATCCACATTTCAGAAATTGCATCATGCAGCACATTTTAATGTGCCAGCAGATTCAGGAACTGTATGTCAGCGAAACTGGGAATGGGACTTACAAATCAAGCCACCATCTTGAATACTCTGCAGTCTCCCCATTTGGTTTAAATATTTGGTGCTCATGGAAGTGAGAGCACCTGTTATATTAAAATTTATCACATATGGAGGGGTGCTAGCCATCTGTACCCAAACTTCCTCTGCAATAAGTCTCCCACTTCATTTAGGCCAGTGGGAAGGCACTGAATTAGAATGAATAAATGTTCAAACCTTGTTTTTTGACACCCAATTGTATTATATTGTGTACATTTTTTCTCAATTGGAAACCATAAAGGTTTCTTCAGATTGCATTGGACCCCCCACGGTGCTCTGCATGAGAACAATTAACAGGTTGTTTGCTTTTCGATAACTAATTGTCGTATAATTAGCCACAGCTTGAGCTGAGAGTTAATTAATTTTGTAGCATACCGTTGGAATGAGATAGTTGCCCATGCAACACTGTCCTGCAGACAAAACCTAATTTCAAGTTTGCATAGTGCGACCATTTGTCCTCATCAACAATAAAAACAGAAGTTGCTGGAAAAGCTCAGCAGAACTGAGGAAGGGTCACCGGACCCGAAATGTTAATTTTGATTTTTTCTTCACAGATGCTGCCAGACCTGCTGAGCGTTTCCAGCAACTTCTGTTTTTGTTCCTCATTTACAGCATTCACAGTTCTTTCGGTTTTTATTTTGTCCTCATCAGCTGTCAAGAACGAGGTATTTAAATAGCTGTTTATCTTTGGTATTGTTTGTACATGATAGATGACTATAACTTAAACATTGGCATTTGTTTTGCAGAGATGGGAGGTAGCCTTCAATGCATAAGTTCAGGAAGGACAAACAAAGAAAGTTTACCTTTGTCACAGTCACATTGCCTTGCTTGCATTGAGGTTCACTGGAACACTGGAAATGTTATTATGGGATAAGACTGTTTATTGAAATGGCAAGCAACTGGTAGGTTGGTGTCATTCCTATGAAGAGAGCAGAGATATTCTGCAAAGCAGTCACCTGGTCAGAGTTTGATTTTGCCAATGTAAAGGAGACAGCATTGTGAACAGTGATTGCAGGGGTCTAGATTGAAAGAAATACAAAATGTTGCTTCACCTTCTGTGATTACATGGGAATGTGGTATTGGGAAAGGGGTAGGATTACTGTATCTGAGTATGGCAGAGGGTACAGTTCCTGTGGACAGTAAAGGCAAAAGGAAGATGTGTTTGGTGGTGGTATCCTGCTGGAGGTTCTACAAATAGCAGAGGATGATCCTGATGGAGTGGAAACTTTGGGTGAAATCTTATAGGGATCAGAGTGACATGGGCTGTGGCTAGATGTGTGACAGAATTGGGTGACAATTGCATCTCGTTGTTGAGAATAACTCAAACCAACTTTAATGCCTTTCACAAGCAGCACGGCACGATCCTCACAAGGCAGCAGCAAGTTGCAAATTGACAGCAGTTATTAGTAAACGTCTTGTTAACAGACCATCGGTACCTGCTGCAAGTTTTCCTGTCTATCACTTATCATGCTGATTTGGAAATTTATCACTGTTCCTTCACTGTCGCTGGGTCAATATCCTGGAGGTCCTTCATGTCTTAACATTTTTCTGCCCAGTGGTTTTCCTTTACGGAATGAGAGAGAGTTAGATATTTATGGGGATAAAATGGTTGGCAGAGTTATTACTGTTGGTAGAGGTAGAGGTGCCCCCAAGTGAGTGAGTGGGTAATGCCAAGGGCATGCAGGGCATATTCCATAATTGCCCAGATGCAGTTAAGAATCAACCACATTGCAGTGGGTCTGGAGTCACATGTAGTCCAGACAAGGTAAGGATGTCAGTTTTCTTCTCTAAAGGACATTAGTGAACCAGATGGGTTTTTTCGACAATTGACAATGGATTCATATTCATCATTATATTCTTATTTCCAGGTTTTTCCCCTTATTGAACTCAAATTCCAAATTGAATTCATGGTGGGATTTGAACCCACGAACCCCAGAAAATTACCTGGTTCTCTGGATAACAGTCTGGTGATAATGCCACTAGGCCATCACCTCCCAATGTCATGTCTGATTCACTAACATAGCTGAATTTGTTTGAGGAGATTATGAATGTACTAGATAAGAATGTTATTAATATGGACATCCAAAGGCTACTTGATAGAATTCTACGCAAGGAACTTGTTTTGACAAGTTTGACAAATTTGTTTTGACACAGAAAAAGGCCATTT